TCAGCAGCGTGTTCCCCAGCCTGAACATGGCAGTGAAGCGACGGGAGCAAACGCTGCAGGACTACAAGCGCCTGCAGTCCAAGGTGGAGAAATACGAGGAGAAGGAAAGGACCGGCCCCGTCCTCGCCAAGCTGCACCAGGTACCAAGACGCTGGCGGACCCAAAAATCCCGCCAGAGTCACCGGGAAAACTCGGGAAGAGCTTTTCTCCCGCTGTTTGACATCCCCGCCACGAAAAGGAACGTTTTGGCTGTTCTTTTACGGCTGTAAAATTGCCACGCAAGGGCGCTCGGTGAGAGAAAGGTGAATCGGAGCGCTCGGCGAAGGGGAAAAGGCACTTTTTTCAAAATAAAATGGTATAAAAGCCACGGGAGAGTCGGCGCATGGAGGGATGGGGGTTCCCCTCCTCCCCAGACCTCCGCATCTGAGCCAGCAGCTGGATGGAAAAAGGGGAAAGATCAGAGAGATTCGAGGCTTTATGTTTGCCACCTGTTAGCAAAATTCGTCTTGGAAAATTGCAGTAATTGGTTAACAGGAAGCTTTGCCAGATTCTTTTCTCTCTCCTAAATTTTAGCAAAATGATAATTTTTTATTATTATTTTTTTTTTAATTAAATCTACACCGGCGTTTCTCGCCAAATCTGTCGCTCCTGCAGAACGTCGCTTGATCCTCGAAGGAACGGTTGACTTTCTCGGCGGCAAAGAACGTGTATTTTCTGATGACTTTCCCCACAAAAATTAAGTTTTGTGTTAAAGAATAGCCCTATCAGCCTTAACAAAAGAGACCTCCGATTTAATAGTAAGCCGCTTACTTCGCTGAGCCTCGCTGACTAAAGCTGCGGCTGGAAAAACATGAATGCTTTTGTCCTGGTGATTAAGCAGGTTTTAGTTATTTCATATATATATATATATTTTTTTTTTTTTCCCTTAATGAACTTCTGTGTGATCTAATTCCTCCCCCCTCCCCAAAAATTGATCTTAACTAACCACTGCCTGCGCATAAACGCCTGCGGGAGCCTTAAGCAACGCTGCACCCAGGGCATCGGAGGGGTCCACGGATTTGATGGGAAATAACCTGATCTCATCCATTTTGTATTTTTATTGAGCTGCAAATTCGCATCTTCCCCTCAGAGCCGTTTGCTCAAAGTCATCTCCTGTTTGGTGCCCCGTGTGAATTCCTCCCCCCTGCAAATCTAAACGCTCCTTGTTTCATGGCAGATGATGAATTTGCTCCTTTTCCTCTCAGACCTACTTAAACCTGAGATGATTTAAGGCTTTGTCCATCCCATCCCACCGGCGTGTTGTCCCCGGGAGCGGGACGGGTGCCGCGGCTGGGCTGGGCTCGATGGCTTTCTCCTGCGTCCCCCCCTCCCGTCGGAATGGCACCGGGATTAAGCGGCAGACTGGAACCGGTCTAATATTTCACAGCCCACCCCCTCCTGCCCTTTTCCACACCATCTCAAGAGACATTTCCCTTTCTCCCCACGCTTCTGTTTAAAGAAGCCAGTTGGACGCGCTGAGCTGAAGGTCATGGGCGAAAATGACGGTGGGGGCAGGAGCCTCTGGCGATGCTCTTGGGAATCGCAGGGCGAGGGGACACGGCCGGGGACGGGGATGTTCTCCAGCCTGGCTGAGCTTTGGGGTTGGTTTTTGTCTCTGTTCTTCTGAAGGAGAGAAGACCGGCTTGGCTGGTGATCTCTGCGGCAGCCTCTCGAGGTGCCCCATGGCTTTCCCCATGGTCCAGGGTCAGAGCTTGGGTCCCACCAGGCTCCGGTAGCTGGTTGTGTGGTCCCACCAGGCTCCACAGGATGGTCACATGGGTCCCACCAGGTTCTGTTAGGTGGTCACTTGGGTCCCACCAGGATCCATTGGATGGTCACGTGAGTCCCACCAGGTTCTGTTAGCTGGTGACTTGGGTCCCACCAGGATCCATTGGATGGTCACGTGAGTCCCACCAGGTTCTGTTAGCTGGTCGCATGGGTCCCATCAGATTACAGAATCACAGAATCACAGAATGGTTGGGGTTGGAAGGGACCTCTGGAGATCATCTAGTCCAACCCCCCTGCCAGAGCAGGGTCACCTACAGCAGGTTGCACAGGAACCTACAGCAGGTTGCACAGGAAACTGCCATTTAGTTGGTTGTGACCATTAGCTGGTCACTTGGGTCCCATCAGGTTCCATTAGCTGGTCACTTGGGTCCCATCAGGTTCTGTTAGCTGGTCGCATGGGTCCCACCAGGATCCATTGGATGGTCACATGAGTCCCACCAGGTTCTGTTAGCTGGTCGTTTGGTCCCACCAGGTTTCGTTGTCTGATCACGTGGGTCCCACCAGGCTCCACTGGATGGTCATACAGGTCCGAGCAGGCTCCATTAGCTGGTCGTTTGGTCCCACCAGGCTCTGTTAGCCGCTCACTGGTTGTCCTGGGGTCAAAGCAGAGCGGTCTGCTGGCCTGGGGTGGCCTCTCTGCAGGTCTGCCCAAGGGAAGGGCGTTTTTCCAGCGGTCTGACTCTCCATCCTCTCTCCTTTCCCAGGCTCGTGAAGAGCTGAGACCGGTGAAGGAGGACTTTGAAGCCAAAAACAAGCAGCTCCTGGAGGAAATGCCCAAGTTTTATAGCAGCCGCATCGATTACTTCAAACCCAGCTTTGAGTCGCTGGTCCGGGCGCAGGTGAGATGCTGTCCCTCGTCTGCCGGGCACTGCCAGATGTCCCTTTGGTGGGTGTCCGCACCGCAGAGCATCTGGGGTCCCGCCTGGGGGTGAATTGCTCTTAAAGCCGGGCTCCTTCTCGCCCTGAGCGTTGTACACGGGGTAACACGCAGCAATCCTCTGCCCAAATGCCGTTCCCTCCAACGATTTAATTACCGAACGGTGAGAGGGCACGGGGAGCAGTGGTGGGACACTGGGCAGGTAACCCTTGGACCTTGTCCTGCCAGAAGAGCGGGTTGACATCTGCCGGTACCTGCGGTGATGCGGTGTTGGCTGTCGGGTAGAAAGGACAGCCGGAGGTGAGTTTTTACTGTTTTATCTGGATTTGCCTCATATCGGGGCCTCTCCTGGTGTGCATATGATGTTCTGTCCCATGATATTACCAGCGTAAGGTGGTTCAAGCCCTGGTTGCGCATCAGCCGCTGGCATTTGGTGGCTTTATCCATCTGGGTACGTCGTCTCTTTGCGTTACAGTCCTGAGCTCAGGGTTGGATCCTCTTTGAGGGTATGAGATGCTCAGGGCTCGTCTTAAGGCTCGCTGCTGGCTCTCGGTAACCAAGAGCCGGTGTGCGCTGGCAGCGATAGAGGCGGCTGCTGCGTAATCTCCGCACCGAGGATTCGCAGGAAGGGGTGGCCTAAATAAACCACAGCCCGCTTGAATTTCCGACCTCCCGCTTCCCTCCTCGCCGTGCTGCCGCTCCTCCTCCATCTTCCTTTCTCCTCTCGCCTTTTTCTTCAGCCTGGGGAGGAACGGTACGGGGATCTAATCTAGTTTGGAACTTTTTGGCATCCGGGGTGGACGTCGCGCGCGGGAGCACGGGGTGGTCCTGTGCCAGTAGAGGAGGGGGGGGGCAGCGAAATCACGTGCTGCTCCTCGCGTGGGTGTTTTCCTACGGTGGTTTTTGTGGAAGGGAACCGCCGGACAAGACAGTGGTGTTCATTACTCTACTTACCTCCTAGAGCTGGATTCTTCTACAATATGGATAATCTTTCCAGGAAGATACAGATGAGGATACTGAGGTGGTGAATTTAAGTGTGATTCATCCTCAAGGGCATTGTATGAGGGTGAGTGCTGAACCATTAAACTCTCCTCAGCCAGGAGTGGCTGGGTGAGGGCATCTTGGTTTCTACCATCCAGCTCCGTTGGGAAGTTATCTGGATCTCCTCCAAATACTTCGTACCAACATCCACGCAACAAAATCTGGTACTGAGTTCAAAAAGAAAAACAGTCAAATTGAGGTTTGGTATCTCTTTGAGTAACTTACTCTAGTTGTATGCTTGCACGCACATCATCGGAAATGACAATTAAAAGACTAAAAATGACTGTATGCACATGCTCCCCTATTTTTCGTTTGATAAAATCTCCTTACCAAATTTTCCCCACAGTGATATCTATTTCACCGATATCTAACCCATGTCACTACTAACGCTACAGAAAACATTACAATCTGTACTAGTTGAATTACTCTGTGTGGAACCTGAAAGGAGGGTGTAGCGAAGGGGGTTGGTCTGTTCTCCCAAGGAACAGGCAATAGGACAAGAGGAAACAGCCCCAAGATGCACCAGGGGAGGTTTAGATTGGATATTAGGAAACATTTCTTCACCCAAAGGGCTGTCAAGCACTGGCACAGGCTGCCAGGGAAGCGGTGGAGTCGCCATCCCTGGGCGTGTTTAACTTGTGTAGCCGTGGTGCTGAGGGACGTGGTCTAGTGGTGGACTTGGCAGTGCTGGGTTAACGGTTGGACTCGATGATCTTAAAGGTCTCTTCCAACCATCGCGGTTCGATGATGTGCTGGGGGCACCGGGAGGTGCGAGCGGGCAGCGGCAGGGTGCTGGTGCCAGCGCTGTTTGCTGTTTTCCCTCTTCTTCCTTGGGAATCCTCTATTTTTTTTTTTCTTGGCTGTCTGCCCTGCCTCTCTCCAGGTGAGGATTTTCCATAGGAAAGGTGAGCGAAATCTCATTTTTAATACCCAAGAGGCAGCGTTGTAGCAAAGCTGATGGGTGTCCCCTAGGCTAGGGCGGAACCTGGTCCCAGATGGATGCTAGAGCATGTCACATCTCACCCTCTCCGCCGACCTACACGGGAGCTGCATCCCTCTTCCCCAGCGCTGGCTGCATCCTTCCACCCGCGGGGAGGGATGCGCTGGCACCACGGCATCTCCGCTGCCGAGAGGAGCGCTCGGCACTCCCCTAATTACTCCTTTGTGCCCAGACTGGGCTCAAGCCGTGTCTCCCCCCTGGTTCTGGAGCTCTTGCCCGGTGGCTGTGCAGCGTTTCCCCCATCGCAGGTGGCTGAAAGAAAAAAGAAAAGGGAAGTGGCTTGCCCAAGGTAACATAATGAGTCAGTGGTGAGCCAGGAATAGCACCCGGGAGCCCTGACTCACCGCCTGGGCTGCTCACCTGCAGGGACCTGGGCAGGGGGCTCGAAAATACTGAGACCTTGAAACCGTGTATCATAGCTGGCTATAAAGTAAATATTTTCACAAATTCAGACACTAGAGTCTTCTAAAAGTGCAGTTTTCCCAAGCATTAGAAGAGAAATTAGTCCTGTGTCGCTGAAACCAGGACAAAAGCTCTTGTGCAAAGCAAGCTTAACATGAAGTGGTACTTGGTTGTTCTCTGTTCTGGCCAGTCCCAGCCCTCTTGCCTTTAGGGAACTTGGCGGGGGAGGGGAAGAAATCTTTAGGATCAATTTTAAACTATTTTATTCGATCAGCAGGGCTTTTTCTTCTTGTGGAAAAGGGGAGAGCTCTGTGTAACCTCGGCACTGCTTCGACCTCTCGATCAACCTAGGAGATGTTTAAAATCCTGACATTTTTAGAGGTGCTAATCTCTGAACAATTTGTCTTGTACTCTTCTTTTAATCCCGTTTGTTGACAACGCATTTTGCTGCTATTAAAAGCACTGGAAAGCTCCCATTGATTTTAATGGTTCAGAAGCAGGCTTGTGGTGGGGACCAGAGAGCCAGTCCTGCAGGAGGGATGGTAGAAATAGCCTGAAAGCCTTCAAAATGGGGGGGAGGAAGGAGTTTCTTTCATATGCATGGGACACGGTTGGCGGAATAGAGGGTGCGATGTGGCAGAAAGGCTTTGTTGGAGCTCGTTAAGGGAGATCTGTGCAACTGCTTTGTGAGTAATTTGATCATTTCCATCCCCATCCCCTCCCCATCCCATCCCATCCCATCCCATCCCATCCCATCCCATCCCATCCCCATCCCCACATCCCTGGTGTGAGCCGACCGTGGGAGGTACGTGAGAGCCGGCCAGCCCCATTCATCCCATTGCTCCTTCCCGGGTTACCTCTCCCTCCATACCTCGTCCAGCTTATTCAGCATCTCGGAGGTTTCGCATTACTCAGTGGAATTTCTATTTTCGGCCCCTTCTGCCGGTACCTCTAGGAGCGATGGTTGCCCGACGGGGCTCGAGTGCGCATCCCTCAAGGAAAGGGATGGAGGGGGACTGGGAGACTGGGGTCGGCTCTGCCCTTGGCCGCCGGTGGCTGGCACCGTGCCGGGGGCCGTGACTCTGGGCTTGCGCATCCGTGGGTCAAACCCACCATTCAAAGGCAGCCCCGGGTATGAAACGGTGTAGTTTTCCCTTTTTTTTTCAGGCCTGGAGAAAGCTGGGGTGGAGGGGGTTAAAGTGAGACAAGTGTGTGACAAGTGGCACCGGCCAGCGTGGCGATGCACGGCCCGGCTGCCTCGCTGGGAACAAGCCATGCCATGGCAAAGGGAAGGACCCCGCTTCAAACCAGCTCCGGACCAGCAGCTTTATGGCTTTGACCCAACGAGACCCTCCGAGACCTTCTGGCTGGGCGGTTGGGTTCCCATGGCACAGCTTGGCCGCCAGCCCCGGTGCCGGGTGTCTCCTGACGGCGTGACATGTCCCGAGCTCGCAGAGGCTGTAACATTCAACACCAAATACTTTTGTCCACCCACGTGCCTGGGCCAAGCCAACAGAGGCAAATATTTCCCCGGCTGGGGGGACTTTGAAGTGGCCACATGAAGATGAAAGGGGGAGATTTGGAGCTCCGTCGCCGGTGCGAGTGCGCGAACAGCACTTCCTTCCCGCTTTGCGCTTTTATTTTCCAGCTAGAAAACACGATACTCCTCTGGTTTTTAATGAAACGGGGGAAAAAGATGGGGTTTGCGAGGCAAGACTGTCCGTGGGGCAGCGCTGGGGCGAGCTGCTGCGGTCCAGCCCTGGCAGCGACCCCGGGATCTTTTGTTTTGTGTAGGGCTGACATAAACACACGCTGCTGCCGCCCGGCTGTGGCATTGTAAACGCGATCTATAGAAAATCAGGGGAACACGGTGTCCCGAAACAGAATTAGTTCAAGACAGGTGGACTCGGGGCCGTTGGCGCGGTCTCAAAGGCGAGTTGGAGATGGGATTTGATGGGACGGGGACGGAGCATATGGTATCCATAGCTGGAAAAGTACTGAGCTGCCGGCAGGCGCGGGGTACCGTGACGGTGACCGTGGGGCCGGCTGCCTGCGGTGCCACGGGGTCCCCCGCTGCCGGGGCTGTCAATGCCCGGCGGTCTGGGGTGCATCCCACCAACCCCCCCGTAGAGGCAGTGATGGTTTTCACCCGAATTTCGATGGGAGAAAAGCACTGGGGGGATCAATGCCTGTGGGATCTCGTTGCTAAAGCACAGGAGACTCGGATGGCGACGCATGCCGGCGCCCCAGATGACTGCCTACTGGTTAGGCACTGGGTCCTACTGGGGGAGAAGAACATCCCCAAGGAGACTCGTTGAGCGCCGGGGGACCCGGCGTCTCCCGCAGGAAGGGCTCGATGGCTGCGGCACGTGGGCGATGGTGGGGGGGAGCCGCGACCGAAATATTCGCTCTGCTTTGCCCGTTCAATAGGGCGGAGATGCTGCTGTGGATGCTGTCGTGCCGGGGGGCAATCCTCGGGGTGGGAGGGGGCAACAACCCCCTCAGCTGCACGTAGCTGCCTCCAGCCCTGCCATCCAGCGGAGACTGGTCTCAACGTGCCGGTGCCTTTTCTTTGTCGGAATTGGAAGCGTTATTTGGACGTGTGGGAATGAACTGAGCCCATCCGATGCTGGGTTTGGGATGAGGGATACGGAGGGCTGCTCCGGTGCCCGGCTCGGTAGCCCTCCCTCCGGGGGAACCGCGCTCACCCCTGGCATTACCGCGGGATGATGGTGGTGGCGGGTGTTTTCTTCACGCTCCGCTCAGGGCAGCATCTCGTGCTGGTGTGGGACTGGGGCTGCAGCCGGCGGGGAGGATGCTTTGGGGGGTGAGCTGGTTGTGGGACCGTGGTTTGGTGGAGGGGGCTGCGATGGGGTGGTGGTGGAAGGAGGAGGCGGTTGATGC